TTTCTCCCAAACATCATCCTTCAGTTCAACCTCCTCCAAAAAATCAATTCTGCCTTCATTACATGGTGATACAACATCCTGGGACATGAACAATAACACAAATTCAAATTATATTAATGTAAAAACATGCACAAGTTATGACGAAAAAGTTGATAGAATAAAAACACAAGTACTTCTTGATTTTTTTCTAAACTACGAGCAACAATATCATCGACTTTTAACCAATCATCTTCATGAAATTCTATTTCTTCATTCAAATGCATCTCGACCGCCTTATCAATTTTTACCACTGCCCTGAGACTTTTTTCCACTGCCTTGTCACTTTTTTCAACTGACTTGTCACTTTTTCTGACAGGCACCTCTACATCTTTTTCCCCACAACTCAATTCAAACTCAATACCTAAAGAAAAACTAGGGAAGTCATTATACACCTGGTCTGTTTCATTAGGTAAACTCTCCACATCATCCTACAAAAAAGTCACAAAGATCATCAAAAAGTAACAATAATTTTAAAAAGTAACAAAATTCAGCAAAAAGTCGCAAGTATGAATTCTAAACTCAATAACTCTTGAATACCTTCGTTTGTTCTTCATTACCAGCTAACATCTTGTCTGTTTCATCAGGTAATCTCTCCACACCATCCTACAAAAAAGTCACAAAGATCATCAAAAAGTAACAATAATTTTAAAAAGTAACAAAATTCAGCAAAAAGTCGCAAGTATGAATTCTAAACTCAATAACTCTTGAATACCTTCGTTTGTTCTTCATTACCAGCTAACATCTTGTCTGTTTCATCAGGTAATCTCTCCACACCATCCTACAAAAAAAGTCACAAAGATAATAAAAAAAGTGACAATAAGTTAAAAAAGTAACAAAATTCAGCAAAAAGTCGCAAGTATTAATTCTAAACTCAATAACTCTTGAATACCTTCATCTGTCCTTCATTACCAGCTAACATCTGGTCCGTTTCATTAGGTAAACTCTCCACATCATCCTACAAAAAAGTCACAAAGATCATCAAAAAGTGACAATAATTTTAAAAAGTAACAAAATTCAGCAAAAAGTCGCAAGTATTAATTCTAAACTCAATAACTCTTGAATACCTTCATCTGTCCTTCATTACCAGCTAACATCTTCTCTACTCTGCATTCCAAAATTTGAAGACGCTCCATCACTTCTTCATTTGTTTTAATCCTTTCTTCAACATCTTTTAGCCAGTTCTCAATCGGATTTGATTGCATTCTACGTTCAAGATCTGAGATTCGTTTTAAAATCACATCATTTGATTGAACAAATTTCAGTTCAACCACGGATAGCCGTCTCAAAACTTTTTCATTTGATTGCTGGACTTGCCGAAAAGAATGTAAAATAATAAGAACCTTTGAAAAAACTTCGAGCATGGTGAACAGAAAATAATAAAAAGAAAAAATACCCACAAACCTCAATAATCTTCCCTTTGTTTTTCTTTTCTGTAGACCTTCCAGTTCGGTCAACAGATTTTGTTTTTCCTTCATCTATGAACTTTTTCAGGCCAACAATAGGATGCTCAAAATTATCATCATCCTGGTCACCACCAAACCAATCACATACTCTTCTCCCTTCTCAGCCTCCAGAGGCACAATTTGATTCACATCCAACTGAAAAATAAATAATCATATCAATAACAGCAAAAGATAAACTAAAGACATAATATAAACAATAAAAGGGTAAAAAACTTACTTTAATCAAATAAAAAATAGTCTTCCTTAACCCCACAGATATCACATGTTGATTGCTACTCCAACTCAACATCCTCTATATCGAGTTAGATCACCATTTCCAGTACACTTAAGCCCTGATATCAAACAAAACTCTTTGATTGAAAATCTTACCAATTCATCAAAGATATTAAACCACATTTCATTTGAATTTGGCTGCTTAACTTGTCTGAGCAGCAACTGGTGTATCAACTGTGGTTGTAAAATTATTTCCTTCAAATCAATGAAGGCACCAAAGCATGTATTTTTGAATAAAGTCCTTTGATATGGACTAAATTTTTCATTCAAGTCTGTTATCACCTCGTGTGGAGATAACAACGTCACTTTTCCTTTGAACCAGCAGGATTGAGGGATTAATAAATCCCAATCCTACAAAAAGAAAAAAGAAACAGTTAAAATAAAATTCAAGAAGAAGTATGTGCATTATGAAAGTCCAAAAGTGACACAAACTGTAAAAAAGGTGACACAGAACCAAAAAAAGTGACAAAATCATCACAAAGATGCTTCCTCATCAAAACACAACCAAAAAAAGTTGTAATTTATTTTATTTTGTAGTTGGTATTGCTTCATATGGATGT